GGAGACACTCTAGTGAAGTCCTGGAGGCGAGCATGGGAGGAGTTGATGACGGAGCTGGAAAGCAGGAGGTCTTGTGAAGAGCAGAGGGGACGGTTAGGGTAATACTTTGAGACCAGGTTGGAGATATAGCCGGGGGGCCAGAGTTGTGGATGGCTTTGTACGCGGTTGTTAATATTTTGAATTTTATCCTTTGGGCTATAGGAAGCCAGTGCAGGGATTGACAGAGGGGGTTGCAGACACTGAGCGGTTGGTTAGATGGATGAGTCTAGCAACTGCATTCATGATAGACTGGAGGGGAGATAGCCTGTGTAGAGGTAGGCTAATGAGGAGGGAGTTACAATAGTCAAGACGAGAGATAACAAGGGAGTGGATGAGTAATTTTACGGTTTCTTTGGTGAGGAAGGGGCGTATTTTGGAGATGTTACGAAGGTGAAGGCGGCAGGATTTGGATAGTGATTGGATGTGGGGAAGAAAGGTGAGGTCCGAGTCAAGGATGACACATAGGACCTTGGCATGGGGGGAGGGCTGGATACTTGTGTTAACAATCTCAAGGGAAAAGTTGGGGGAAGGTGCACAGGCAGGAGGAAATATCAAGAGCTCAGTTTATGAAATATTGAGTTTTAAGAAGTGTTGCGACATCCAGACAGATATGTCAGTTAGTAGATTAGTGACACGCAAGGACACTGAGGGGGAGAGTTGCGGAGTAGAGAGATAGATTTGAGTGTCATCGGCATATAGATGGTATTGGAAGCCATGTGTGGTTATTAACTGACCAAGAGAGGAGGTGTAGATAGAGAAGAGAAGGGGTCAAAGGACAGAGCCTTGGAGGACCCCTACAGAAAGAGGAAGAGGAGGGGAGGAGCTAGATTTGTAGGTGACACTAAAGGAGCGCTTAGACAGGTAAGAGTAGAAATTGCCACGGTTGTAGTGGGCGTGGTCTAAGTCTGCGTGTAGTGAGGGGAGCCAAAGTGTCTAGGGAGGATGAAAGTGAGCTGTTGAAGACAGAAATAGCCAGGTCAGGGCAGGACAGGGGTGAGATTTTGTCATATAGGTAGTCAGTAGCAGAGTAGAGAAGAAAAGGGTCGGGTTGTATTTATTTGCAGAAAAAAACCCTACAAGATTGTTGTGCCTATGTGTAAAGTATTCGATTTTTTTACTAAAAAAACATCCAAAACATTCTAATCTGTAACTGAACTGAAATTAAAAAAATGAGGTGAAATAAAAAAGCACTCACAAAAAATAAAACAGGGGGAAGGTACAGCATTTAAGCAGCAACTGAAGTTGGTATTGTGACACACACAGAAAGGTAAATCTGCCTAGGAAATAACTCTGCGATGTGTTCAAAATCTGCTATAGCCCTGATCAAAACATACTGTGATTCAATATAAATATGCACATTTTAAACAATAACCACCAGCTCCTAACGGTCCATGTTAACACTCTCAAGCATTTTCCCAATCTGCCAGACAACTGTACAACATCCTGTCTGTAACTGCATGTAAAAATAGACATCATTTTTTTAAGCACTGAGCATAGTACCTGCATGAACAACTAACTTTCCCTGTCGTCTGTGGGCTTTCCCTAATTACTCTATATCTGTTCTAAAACACATTGAATGGGTGTTTAGAATCCTTATTTTTATAGGTTGCTGGCCCATTACAAAGCATCAATGACTGGCCCTTCCAAACCACCTGACCACAGTTCAGAGGCCAGATAGTGCTTGATTGGTATGGATTGCTATGACGAATGGTCTCAGTAGCTCGCTATTTTCTTTAAATTTTGAATGGCTTGAGTTCAGGTCAAACTCATGGAGGACCCAAATTTCAAAGCTCATCTATACTAATAAACCATGCACAGCCAAGATCCATCTGTTTTTTTCATCTATGATTTCATTATTTTATTTTAAGTAATTACTTCAACTTTATATTGAATAAGTATTGAATATGTATACTGTATGTATTAATAGAAACATGGTTCTTACCCAGTCACTCATGTGTCTTATTCATATCTCTTACAATATCTTGTTTTGGAGTAATAGCTAGAGTGGTTTGATTCAAGTTCCCACAAGCTTAATGATTCAGTTCCTTTTTTCTCTCAAGTTGTTCTCTTTGTTCCCAGTCCTTTTATTTTGAACAGCATCCATTTGGCTCCAGTCTGATTTTGAGAATTGGACTTAAATGTGAGATTTTGAAATCCAACATTTTAGTTCTCTGGTGAGACTTACTAGCCATAGGGCTGAATGAAAATAAAATTGTTGTGCAGTCAGTTAGCACTTATTGAACATCCCTCTTTTCAGGATATGGTTAATTGAATTTGAGGGCAACTTACATTAAACTCTGAAATGAAGCAGTATGTGCAGGAATCACTAAAAACCAAAATGTTTTATGTTTAAAATCAAATAAATTGCAGACAGAGAAATATATATAGAATTAAACTATGTAAAGTCAGATAATTTAAAAATAATGTTTACATGAAATGAAAATATACTTTTATATGTTTCAAGGTAAAAAGCTAGAATTTTAGTTTAACAAACTCAAGAGAGCAAAAAACATTTTGAGAAAATCAGTAGTTGTTATGACAAATGTAATTTAATTTAAATACAAATCAGTTTTACAAGTGTTTTACAAGTGTTTTAAAAGTCAAAGCAAGTGAGCCTGTATTAGTGTGATATTTTAATTGTAGTACTGCTTATACCTTTGTGGCAGTATGTGAACAGTTGTGTGAAAAGTGTTATTTTTGCAAATATTCTTTCTTGGTAGGCTTGATAATATTTAATGTTTCCTTTTTTGTTAGGTTCTCCATGAAGAGATAGAGATGCCATGTTCAAACCTCAGACTTTGCTACCTGAGTTCTCGAACCCCTGGATACAAGTCTCTGTTAAAAATCACAATGACCCAGTCTGTGGTTCCTGTTAATCTAATCAAAGTCCATTTAATGGTGGCTGTTGAAGGACATCTATTCCAGAAGACATTCCAAGCTTCACCAAATTTAGCTTATACATTTGTTTGGGATAAAAGCGATGCTTATGGTCAAAGAGTTTATGGACTATCAGATGCTGTAGGTGAGTTTGCTTTGCATAGTTTTATATGGCAGAAATGAAGGCATGATAAATTAGGGGACTGAGTAATATACAGTCAGTAGAAGAGAATGATGGCTGTCATGTAGAAAGTCACAAGTAGAAAGTCAAGTTGAAAGTCACAAACACGCACTTAACCCTTGCAGTGCAGGGGTAGTCCGACTGCAAGGGTTAAGATATGATTTCCCCCAGAGTTCTGCCTTAAGTTTTGGGACTTAAGGCAGAACTCTGTGACCATAACAGAAGGAATTATGAGAGATTAAACTTAAACTTAATGAATATCAATCTTTTCAAACTTTACATTTTCCTATACCGAAATTGTTTTTTTTAGTTGTGGATAAAATAAAGAACTGTTAAAACCCCTATTATGTCATTTTTTTGCTGTCTGTGTTCCCCTGGGAATTTTTCCTTTGCCTTACTCTCCTTAAGGTGCAACACGAAATTAAAGGAAATCTCCCCCTGATTAGGAGAATTTCCATTGTAGACAGCTGTCATCAGAACATTTGTCCCCAGTGCATGATCTTATTGAAACCAAAAATAAAATAGTTTTCAATGACATATACTTTAAAAACTATGGGGGTTATTTACGAAGGAGCCGAAGAATCCAGCCTAAGCTTCGGCTGATCCTTTGGCTCTCTTCGGCCGCTGGAGCCCTTCGGTTCAGTTGAACCAATGGACTGCTGTACGGGCTATTCACTATAGCCCATACAGCAGCCGAAGGCGGCCGGCTAATCACTCACTGCCATTCGTCCCCTATGTAAACAGCATAGGGGATTTGAATAGGGGCGAACGGCAGCGAGTGAGCTACCGGAGCTTCGGCTCAGCCGATTAAGATGTTGGATCGGCTGAGTCGAAGTCCTTCTGCACTTCAGCTCAGCCGAACACGCAGAGCATGTTCGGCTGAACGAAGACAGCCGTACAGAGCCGATGTACGGCCGATGAATAGCCAATGTTCAGCCGTGCAAGCCAGAAGTGAATAGCTGAACAGCGTTAGGCTCACTTCACTTCGGCTTGGTTATTCACTCAGCTGCCTTTGAGTGAATAACCCTGTATGTAACTATGTAACTATAATACTCATGTATGCCATATGGTGTTTTAACTTCATGTTGTACTACTTTTGGGACTAAGATGTTGGATCACTGGAACATTTTTTATTGCAATGCATTGCGGTAACATGCATTTTTCAGATGCTACTGCAATGCTCAAGTGTGAATATGAACAAATATGAACCTTTTTTCCATTGCAGTGAACCACAACATACAGATGGTTTCCATGTCTGCTTTGGTTTGCACTGAAATGCAAATGCATTGAGGTACACTGGTAAGGTGCTTTAGGGTGCCATTCAAAATGATTGGCACTGCAACTAGCCAAATTGAGGATTACACATTACCATAACACAGAAGTGTGAAGACAGCCTCAAGGTTTTTTAAACATTTTTTATCAGTTTTCAAAGTATGTTGTCAAAATGACAGACACATTTGCTTACAACAATGCTTTTTGTTTGACAATGAAAAACATACAGTGCAAATAAAAATGTAAATTACCAAGAGTCAAGATCATAAAAGAAGCAGGTGCTAAAACACTGTGTGGCATTAGGATCAAGCCATACAATTAAAAGAGGGAATTGTGAAATGGGTAGAGGAAAGTGTGAGGGAAAGGAGAGGAGGAAGAAGATAGATAAAGGAAAAATAGTATGCCCAGACTAGTGATAATACACTATTAGCTAATGCTAATTAAATATAATATCTTGAACATCTTATTACTGACCAGATTACATGATATCCAGGTAAAAGGGGGGAGTTTTATAGGTGATCCAGAAGTTTCATCTCTTTTGGAAGTGGTCTTGGGTGAAGAAACTAATTCCTCCAAAAGGTAAGTTTGCTCTATTTTCTGAAACTAGAGCTTAATAAGGGGCATTTGGTTTTCCAAAACAATGGGATAAGGGATTTTGCTGCATTTAGTATATGAAGTGTAATTAACCATTTATATCAACCTGCTGGCTTGTCTGTACAAAGAAACAAGAGTCCAGGCATCTAATCCAACTGTGACCCTTTACATTTTCAGACTATGCTTAGACACTGCAACCCAGAAGGTATGAATAATTGAGCAAAACCACGAGATATGACCATGACTGCCAGTGTGACCACAACCTCCTCAGTTGGGTGTACCTCCAGTGGTCTATTGCATGTCAGGTAGTGGGATCCCTAAGCTCTGCTAAGAGTGTAAAATCAGAGCACCATAGAACACAGTGAAGAAGAAAAGGTTTCATGGGTTACCAGTTGGGGAACTGTTGTTCCAGAAGGCTTGGTAGAAAGTAAGCGTATCACAGTAGGGGAAGTAAAGATAAGTTATGTGGCTATTAACATTTAGCTAAAGTAAGTTAATGAGCAGGTATGAGGTGAGAGAGATGGGTAATTTTTGGATATCCAACTCATTGTTCTAAGATTACTCAAGGCTATTTCTAAGTTGACCAACAGTTTGGAATGAATTGTGAAAATCTAGTCCAATATCCTGATCAAAACAGTGGCATCATGATAACATTTGAAATCGGAAAGAGAAAGTCCATCATTAAGCTTAGAACAGGATAAAGTAGCTTTGGAGATCCTTGGTTTCAAAAGGCCCCAATATACTTAATGGTTAATCAGTGTACTTTATCAAAAAAAGCTAGGAAAGACCCCATATGGACCATTTGCAATATGAACAGAAGCCTTGGCACAATATATTTAACAACATTTACTGTACCCATCCAAGAGTGATAAAGGTGTGAGCAACTTTGCAAGTCCCTTCTATTATTTATTAATAATTAGATTCCTAAGTATTTCAATATTGTAGTTACCATGTAAATGGGGATTAAGAGTGTGAATCCCTGATAGCATGAGGTTTAACATTTATAATTTAGATTAATTTTAAAATTAGAAAATTTACTGAATGAGGTCAGGGCTGCAAGAAAATTTGGTAAGGTGATGTGAGGCTGATGAATGTAGAATAATACATTGTCAGCATAAACTGCAAGTTTGTACATATGATTTCTGATGCAAATGCCTTGAAAATCTGGATTATTTTGTACAGTTGGCAGGAATGGTACTAGAGAGATAGTGAATAACCACTGAGGAGTGCCATTATGGAGAAAACAGGGTCTACTCACTGTACCATTTATGCAAACCTGAGCTGAGACAGAATCATATAGAGCCGCAGTCCAATGGTACATGGTAGGATCAAGGCCTAGATGTTGGAGGGTGGCTATGGGGCTGTTGGCAGGCATGTAGACCTTTTAAAAGCTCTATCATATCCAATCTGTTGCCTAGTGGGACATCTACTGAGAGCTCCAAATAACAAGTTGATGCTGGAGAGCTTTGTCTGGTGGAAACGTGATGAGCTTGCATGATGGTGAGTCCTATTTACTAGGCTCCTAAACCTCCTCCATTTCCATAGTCAGACACCATTTAATAGAGCTGGAAGACAATTTTTGGAGTGTACTGAGGGATAACTTGTTTACCCATGGTTGTTGGGGTAAATTAACAGCTAGTAGGATGGTTTCAGAGGCAGGGTTGAAACTTGTCTTAAGCACACCCATACAGTGACATGAGCAGGCCACACCCCTGTCTCAAGGTTTTAAGCTCAGGTTGCTTTTTAACAGTTTTGCTCTCCTTTGACCTTCATTGTTTTGCAAAAAGGCATGATTTAAAATGTATTAATATTTGTTTTTTGTTAACTCAGTGTAGTTTATCTTTTAGATTTAGTAAGGATTTGTTACGTTACGTTGTGCTTGTGTGCGCTAATAATGATTTAAGTGTATATTTATTAAAAATATAGATTTGATAAATAATAGTGCAACTATCATTGGATGTACATAATAGTAGAACAATATTTTATTTCTACAGGTTCTGTGCTTTCAGAAAATGTATGGCTTTGGGGTCTTTTATAAAATTATATAGCTGTAAGGGAAATACAATAAAATCAGCAACACTTGTGGAAAAAAAAGGCCTGGCCATGTGAGGTGAAAAATGAGAAGTAGGGCCTGGTAGCAAAAGGGATAATGCCACACTGTGGGATATATGTTTGGATTACAAAATGTGACAACCAACTATCAGTTAGTTTACTATGTTGACAAAGCCTCACCTTTTTCATTTTTGCTATGGGTCATCTCTATTGCCAGTGTTCATGAAAGTTGCACTGTTTAAGATTCAGAGAGCAGTTTATTTTCCCGAGTAAAGCCCAAGCCATAACCAAATGAGCATGTGAAAATTTGCAAGCACCAGCGAGTTTGTTTAATCATCACTCTAATTATTAAAAATTCTTTATTATTCTCTCACTCATGTCTAATTTTATTATTATCAACACAACAAAGCTGTTCATGGTGCATTCCAACTTGACATTGTTAACAAGATATTATTGTAAAATTCCACTTAAGACCTTTGGGAAAAGAGCATCTCCAAATTATAGCCTCACAAATTAATTGGAAAGAAAAATGAATTAAGATATATATTTATGATGTTAAAACCTCTGAAACTGCTATTAGATCTCTTCTTTAGGAATTTTGGATTCAGAGCATCAGCTGTAAAAAATACAAAAGTACAGAGAACAGATAGAATCATTTATCAACATGCTGCAAATGTTCTAAGCAATAGAAAAAAAGATGAACTATTAAACTGTAAACGTGCATGAGGAAAAAAAATGTAGGGACAGGCCTTCATTAATTAAAGTGTTCTGATTTATATGTTATGTTCTATATTATTTAAAATGCTTTTACTTATGTAGTAGACTGCATTGCTAATGCAGCATTTTTTTTTAATACCATGTATGTAATTTTTAATAATTAACAAATCATATGACTTTTGTTAATATATATCACATATTTTTAATATGTGGTGTTTTGTTATTTATGTTCCAGATATTCCTTAGCAATATTGTTTCCGTCTTCATAGAAAAACGTAAATTTTTTATAATGTGCCTCTTTATTTCAGTGTCTGTTGGCTTTGAATATGAAACGTGCCTTGGCCTTATATTATGGGAGAAGAGAACAGCAGAATTACAAGGGTTTGAGTTAGATCCCTCAAACCTTGGAGGCTGGTCATTAGATAAGCACCACATACTAAATGTAAAAAGTGGTAAGTATAAATTCTAAATAAGCACTCAGATTATGACTCAACATCACAATTAACAACTGTCCAAAACATACAATGAACTACTGAACACACCACTCTCATTCTATAAGAATGTATGCACTGTATAAAAATGTATAAATGAACAAAAAGAATAGATAACCCATAGGGAGCTTTGAATCATCCATCCAGAGGCCTCAACTAGTATTGTGTGCATGAGGGGTACCTAACCTTTCTTTACATTTTGCTACTAGAAAATTGATCCTTACTAGGTTAGCTGAACGTTAACTTGAGTCAATATATCCATAGCTCAGATCAATATATGGGAGCAGCAGTGTACATACGGCTGATTTCAGCCGATATACGGCTGAAATCAGCCGTACCAGCCTGAAGTGAATAGCCGAACAGTGTTCGGCTCACTTCACTTCTGATCGGTCATTCACTCGGCTGCCCTCGGCAGCTTTGTGAATAGACCCCATTGTTTCACACTGAGGTAAGAAAAAAGACATGATGTTTAAAATGCAATAAGTATGTAACACTTTAAAGCAAGCTTAAAATAGATCAGGAATTTACAGTGGTTGATGGTGCTTCTTTAGAAGCTTGGCCAAATGTAGCCTATTATTATTATTATTATACAGGATTTATATAGCGCCAACAGTTTGCGCAGCGCTGTGCAATATAAGGAAGACATTACAATCACAATACAATGCAAGACAAAATGGTAGGGCGGGCTCTGCCCATGAAGGCTTACAATCTAGTTAAGAAATCAATCAGTAAATTGCTCATTGCAATGATAAATAGGATAGAAATTAATTATCATAAGACTGGTTGGGATTTCCCTACAGTTGATTTAATTAGTTGGGTGAGTGTTTCCCCAATTCTTATTAGCACATTGTAATTTACCCATTTACACATATTTACACCAACAGTTGTTGCAGTGAAACTAGTTCTGGAAGATGCGGCAGCCCATCACAGTTAATGTCTTAAAGTGACACTAAACTCAAGAGTTACATCTTAAAAATGAATGTAAGTACCTCAACTATTAACAAAAATGTATCTTATTTGTGTGTCACTCAGCTGTACATCTTCAAATTGTCTCTGAATTGGTGCTGACACTGTCCTCCCTTCTGGAGGGTGGCTACTTTTGTTCCCCGTGGTCTCTGTGTATGTTGTAAAATAACTACTGCTCCAGGCTCCGCTCCATGGACTACAACTTAGTTTACCAATTTGTATTGAAATTATAGTTATACTTTACAACACACACAGGGACCATGGGGAACAAAAGTAGCCACCCTCCAGAAGGAAGGACAGTGTCAGCACCAATTCAGAGATGATTTAAGGATCTACAGCTGAGCGATGCACAAATAAGCTACATTTACATTAATAGTTAAAGGAGAACTATGAGGTGAGTGATTTTCACTCATCCTCATAGTTCGAGCCGACGTGTGACAATGAAACATTTTAGTGCAAATGTAAAGTTAGTGACAGTCTCTTTAAATCTAGACCTGCTCTCTAAGCAATCTGTTCTCACTTTCCTAATCAGAAATATGGGAAAAATAGCATTGTAATTGCACGTATACTGAAACAAATGTCTTAATCTAACAACTAACTCTGTATCTGAAGCTGGCATGTGAAATCCAAACTACCAGACTGCAAACACCATTTCTTCACTTTAATGTTATCTCTAGACAGACAGTTCAACTAATTATGTGCAGTATTATACTAGTCTAGTCTTAACTGTTGGAATACTGTAAAGTCAGACATTGTAGTGTTCACTTATGACATATTAATGTAATGGTGTCAGCTATAATTGTGGCTTTATGGAGGTTTGAGTAGTAGCTGGTGGATATAGCTATACTTATTGGATTGTAACTGACATTCAGGTGTTAATTTACTTCCCCGCTGTTTTGACTGAGGACATTATTTTCAAAGAGATTTTATTCTAATTTTACATCTATATATAAATCCTCAAGATGGTTATGATTTTCTTTTATCATTACAAAAATGTAATCGGACATTTAGTAGGATCATTGTTTTGCACTGCATTCATGATTAAAGTTAACATTTTTTGTTTTGTTTTGGAGAATGTAGAAGAACTTCTGTCAGGTTTTTATCACTCTCTGTGGGTCTGCTGGGTAGATTCACCCTTTCATCTTGTCCTGATGACCACTGTCACTGGGACTGAAAGTAAAGGAAATTCCAGAGTTTTGAATTGTCACCAGAAAACGAAATAGAAGCAAAATCTTCCAATGAACTGTGATCTGGTGATCAATAATCCAGTGATCCAACGATCCACTGATCTGGTGATCACTAGAGAAAGGATTCATGTCACTTTGAAGAGATTTCCTTTCACTTCCTTTTGTCCCTACAGGATAGGAAGTATAGGACAATCTTTCAAATGGGACACAGGCTGCAAAAAAAAAAACGCCTGCCAGGAGTTTTACCCATTTCATATTTTTAGGATTTAAATATGTTTAAAGAAGAACTCTGGGCAGTTAACAAATTAACCCTTGCAGTGGGACTACCCATCCACTGCAAAGGTTAAGTGCTCATTTTGGTCTAGAGTCTAAAATAAATAAGATATTCTAACCTGATCCTCGGTCCTGTGGCAGTGACCACCAAGTCATCTCCCCCTCCGCTCGGGCTGTGGAATGTCCCTTGGCATTCTCATGTATAATATGAATCAATGGCCCAGTATTACATGACATCAGCAGGGCTTAGATTGATGGAGTCCCAGGGATGAATAGGCTTGGGGGATGGGTCTAGAAGCCAGGCGGGACTGAGGATTGGGTGAGTATATTTCTTTTTTTTTTAGAACCTAGACTAAAATGAACACCTAACCCTTGCAGTGCAAGGGTAGCCCCACTTCAATGGTTAAATGTTGTACCTGCCGGGAGTTCTTCTTTAAACTGTTTGGAATGTTCATGCTGTTCTTAACTTGGTTTTTACCCTGGATACACAAATGCTATAAAATGGCTAGATGCTATGTGTACACCCTATTTTACATATGACTAGAATAAGCCAAAACACCCAGATACTTTGCATTAATAGATTATATTGTAGAAAAGGTTACAGCAATAATAACAATACAAAGATCTAGACAAAGAGAGCCGCTAACACATACACAGCTAAATCCATGCAATGGGTGTTTCTCTAAAAGATGTATTTTTTTAATAAAATTATTTTAATGCCTAAATTTGACTTGGTATGAGCCTCTGGTAATCATATGTGCAGTAGAACTCTGAATAGGAGAGGAAGATAAAGTACTAGGAGCCAATCATCAGAAATGGATGCAAATACAGGCAGTCCCCAAGTTACATACATCCGACTTACATACGACTCCTACTTACAAACGGAGCCATTACTGTACAGCAAAGGTAGTTACTAACGCTCTCGTGCTGACAAGGAGTGCCCGCCTTTTTGGGTCTGGTTCGTAGTACTGTACGTAGATTACAGGAAGTTGGCTCCTGTTAGATGTGCAGACGAGGGGTGCCCGCTTTTTATTCCGAGTCACTGTGAGGTTTTACGTGCTGTCTGTATCCTCATTAGAAGGATTTAATCTCACTTTCTGTCCTTGAGACAACAGGAAGTCAAAGGAAATCTACCCCTTCCCCTATGAAGGGAAATTCACTCCTGTAAGAGCTATTATGGGAAAAAGGTGTCTCCACTAAAATCTTTGTTTCCACGACAACCCAAAATTTTCCAAATCCAATTGTCACAGGGACATAAAGTGAGGTGAAATCTTCTGAACAGGGGCAAACACAACAAACAAACTTTACAGGGGATAAACCCTTCCCTATGCTATCCAAAACTAAAGACAATTTTTTGGGCTGGAGTTCTACTTAAAACATTTACCTGATCCAACTTCAAATTCAACTTAAGCACAAACCCACAGTCCCTATCTTGTTCGTAACCCAGGGACTGCCTGTATGCTGAAAAGGAATATGTTGACAGGTGGAGAGAGCTCATGAGTCTGCCATTGTCCAGTGACAGGCTGAGAAAAGTCAGGTCAATAACCTAGCTGTGCTGACTGGTAGGACTGACTAGACAAAATGGTATGCTTTACCTTTGGCAGGTAAAACATACCATACAAACTGTACATTGCAGTTGTGTATTTAGACATTTGCGTAGAGCTTGGCTTTAAGGAATAACTATCATGAGAAAAAAATCTGTGCAGGAAAACAGAATAAGTTAGGAGAAAAATATATATTTGTACATTAATCTTGAGTAAGTTTGCTCGCTTCTTATTGGTATACTAATTGCAAAGTTTTCTTCTTAGGCATTCTGCATAAAGGCAGCGGAGAAAATCAGTTTCTTTCACAACAACCTGCTGTAATCATGAGCATAATGGGTAACGGCCGTAGAAGAAGTATCTCTTGCCCCAGCTGCAATGGCCTCGCTGAAGGTAACAAGCTATTGGCTCCAGTAGCTCTTGCAGTTGGAATTGATGGAAGCCTCTTTGTGGGAGATTTTAATTATATACGACGCATCTTCCCCTCCAGAAATGTCACCAGTATTCTGGAACTTCGGTGAGATTTTCATCTTGACATAAAAGTTAGCTGGAATGTCAGGCAGCATGCTTTTATTAATATGAATTTTATAGCTGACCTGACACAACTCAAAACCACAAATGTTCTAGTTTGTCACACACAAAATCCATTTAGACAGTGAACCATTGTAATTATGTGTTTGTCCAAACAGTTTGCATGAGCAATATTGAAAAGGATAAGCTATCACCTAATCTTGTTAAAAACATGCAAGCTCCAAAAAGAGTATTTATTTTCAAATATAAATGTGGCCTTCATTAAAATACAACATTTCTTCCATGAAAGACTTACAAAGGATATTTCTACAGATGGGGAGTCCTTTGGTGTATTGAAGAACAATGTGTTACTGGCCTCTTCATCAGTGAAGGAGAAAGTGACACTTTGAACAGATGTTTTGAGCTCTGCTAATGTCCTGTGGACTAAGAATGACATTTATCTTTGTCAGCAGACAATCCATTAAGTGTACAGCACATTTACTTGCTGTACATGATTTGTGTTGCTTGTTTATTCTGTGTTGCCCTCTCCAGGATGAAATGTCATTTTATGTCTTTGAAGATTTATTCTTTTTTTCTGTTATTATTATTTTTTATGACATTTTTTATTAGACACCAGTTTCTATTAGTCACTGTTATGATGATTAAGATATGATAATATGTTGGTGCAAAGAGCAATAATTTTTTGCTTGGATCCTTCCATATTTGCGTTTGCACATACACATGCACACACACACAGACGCACACAAAATGTGCTACCATAAATGGTAGATATGACTCATTTATCAGTTAGTTTTCTTGACACATCTTCTATAGAATACACACGCTTTCACAGGAATGTGTTCTGAATGCTGCCAATGTATAGGGCAGCTGTGTTCTCCAGTAAATGCAGTCCATTTTAATCAGGCATGATTTGTTCTCTGTACCCAGACACATTAAGGGGCTGATGTATGACTGTTACACCCAGCTTAAATTGGGTGGATGCTGTTTGCATGGCATTACTGCCAGTAGATGGCGCTGACCTAACCAATCCTATTTCCGATGCTCCTTAGCACCCTCTAGTGGTGGTAGTGCCATGCGAATTGCATTTGCCAAGCTTTACACTAGGCGGAAGAATTATAACTCAACCCCCATGTGTACAAATGGAATACATTATGAAAGGCACAATTTTTGGTTTACACTGCAGTTAGGTGAAACAATTTAAAAGACTCCTGAAGTATTTGTAAACCCAGTCAATAACATATCATATAAGTTTTTACATGAATGTTTAATGATTTCAAAAGTCTTTTTCAAAATCTTTACAACAAAAGTGCATTTATTCACTTGGCCCCTTTAAGTTAACCTAATTGATCCCACCCTCCCCGGGCACAGATTCTTACCTACTGAGATCTGATGGGCCCATTTATAGACATCCTGCGGCAAACATCTCCCTCTCCTGGCTGTGCCTGTGCAGTACACCCCCATTCATTTCTATGGGGCTCATCTACCTCTGTCTCCTGGCCAGAGAATGGTTCCAAAGAAGTCAATAGGGATGTACTGTGCAAGGGAGAGTCCTGAGGGAGACTTGCGCTGCAGAATGTAAACAAACAACAGAGGCCACTCCTGTCACAAATTGGTAAGCATGCATTTGTGCAGAGGGAAGGTGGGATTGGTTAGGTCAGCCTTAAGGGATCAGAAGCATAGGTTCGCATAGCTTTAAAGTGCCCTTATCCTTTAAATATCCAGCTTTCAATAAAAGACTGCCTGGTGATCCTGCTTTGAAGATCCTTGTTCATGCACTTCCTGTTGTAGGATGTTGTGCCCCTATGTTGTCACCCTTTCACATGTTTCACAGATGGGAGACTACAAGCGACCATGCCAACACATATTGCACAGCCATGGTCCATTGTTGTCGCCACCAGATCTAGATATCTAAAATTATAATGCCTTTTCAATCTATTATGTAGATTATTAATACATTTCTCTCTTATTTTTTCTCCTTTTCTTGCTAAAGAAACAAAGAATTTAAACATAGGTAAGGTTATGACTTTGAAAAGCATAATTGTGTGTTTCTTTCATATACTTTCTGTCAACATTGCTATTGAAAAAAAAAAGTTTTTTTTAGTGCCAGTATGAGTACCTGCTCCACAGCTTCTACATGTTCTTGAAGTCATTTTAGCAGTGTGGTGGTTTCATACCTTTGTCATTGTTTATTACTATGTTGTCTCACTGCCTCAAAATGTATATATGTGCCTTTTTATTTATGTATGTAACATAATCCTAAGCCACATTCATTTATTTCTGATATTACACGTTCATAAAATTTAGCATTTATGGGATACATAAACCTGCCCGATGGGAGTTTTAAAGCGGATCAAACGGTTTGAAAATCAACTTTTTAAAAACATGATGTAAATGTGTAAAACAATACTTTAAACCTATGTGCTAAAACACAGTCTCTTCACAAATGATATTTACTGTTGAATGTGAGAATGATTTCTAATTTAAATGGTAATGTATTTTTTTGCAATTTCAATATAGCGACCAGCCTAAATGTAAAGAGGTAGCAAAATCTGTGGTGCAAATGATGGGAAGTAAAATTTAGCTAATTGAATGTTATTTGTAGATGACATTTAGCAAAATAAGCCCATGCTCAGGTCACCAAGGGGCACCACATAATTTTCCCCTACCTATTATGCCCTTAACCTCCCTGGCGATATGATTATCTCAGTATTTTTTCCTTTTTTTTTCTATTTTTTACTTTTGAATTTCTCGCCAGCTCCGCCCCCCTGCAATGCCGGCGCTCACAGGGAAGGAACCCAGAAGATGCCCGAGTGTGGCTCGGGGTTACCGCCTTTGGTACTGAAAATGTAACCCCAAGCCACACTCAGGATTACCGCCAGGAAGGTTAAAGGATTAGTGCACTTAAAAACCAAGTGCATTTATCCTTTTTTGGTCATTTGCCCTGAGCTAATTGATCCTACCCTTGTTTCCACAGATGTATACTTACTAAGATCCAAAAGCCACGGCCTACCTTGTTTATTTACATCCTATGCCACAAGTTCGCTCTCTCCTGATTGCAGAGGCACATTACAGCCCCACAGACTTCTTAATTCTTAAATATAATTTATCAAAAAGTGTTTTCCCTCATCATTTCTCAATGAAATGTCATGTCCTCAAGTACAGTATACACAGGTAGATTTTCAAATGAACATTCATACAAAAAAATCCTGTTGGAGCATTCGATAAAACCATCAGAGGCTTGGCGATTGTCGTTCAAAATATTGTTTGATTTTCGTTTTAATTTCACATTCAATTTTATTTTGAATAGAGTTTCACCAAACGAAAACCATAACTCCAGTTTGAATTTTGTTTTATTGAGAAATTTTCGAACATGCTCCTTCAAATTTTTTAATCACTGAAGTTGACATTGATCATCGATATTATTATTACTATTAGAAAGCTGAATGAACGTTCCTAAATCGATTATGTTCAAACTTCTAACTGTGTATAGCCTACTTCAGTCCTTTGCTTGATTTTGAGTCAAGCCCAATCTATTAAAAAAGTATTTTATATAGTTGTGGGGTCTTGCCTGGTGCTGACTAGCTAAAGAAAGTTTGCAAATTTTTAGACTTGTATTTCACTTTCAGCACTCATTGCTGAGTTGATTTACTAACCTTACAAACACACCACGAACATGTATACACCTCTGTAGTGTGTTCCCTCCCAGCATGATCTATGGATGGAATCTAAACACCTTTGTAGTGTGTACACACCCAGCAGGTGTGTTGTGCAAAGCCTTGCATGAATTCCAAGGTGATGTTGTGTAAATTAGCTCTATGTTATGTTGCTTGCGTTGATGAATGCAGGAATGTAAATGCATGAGCTAACCATTTTTGTCTAAACTGTGAAGCAGCATTATATATGCATCATGTGCATGATTTTTCCATATATGGCATTAGTGGAAATATGCTTTTAGAGACTTTTTGGTTGATAAATACGTTTTGCTGTGTGAAAATCACACGCACCTGGTGTGTGCGTGTGTTTAGGTTAGTAAATCACCCCCATTGAGTCTTAGAGGTTGAGCTATTAAAGGCATATAGGTTGTTCACTTAGCAAAGTGCATTATCCCTTGGTTTAGTGAATGAGGGGAAGCTCAGCTGACTTCCATCATCCAGTCATGTGCAAGTAAAAATATGTTTTTATTTTTTCCTTACACATGATTGGGTATCCTTTGTAAAGTGAATTTTCACCAAACACTAAGCTAAGTAAAAATTCCTTGCAACATGAACAGCATATTTTCCTTTAGTAATTCATCATAGATGTCAAGGAAATACATGTTATTGTAAAACTGAATAAAATTTTCCTTGCAAAGTGAACATGTTTTAATCTTTTAGTAAATCAGCCCCTTAATGTCAAGTGGGGCACCATTGTTGGGCTGTGCTTAGGGCATCGGTTTCCCTTAATCCGGGCCCAGGTCATATCAAACTGTGACTATATAGCTAGGTGTACATGCAGACAATATGGAGAGCCCAGAATTGAGCTTTAAAATATAATTTTTAAAACTACCTGCTGGAAATCCATGGATTGTGCAGTGTAGTAGAATCACAGATTTTCTGTTGAAGGTAAAATATGATATGAAATGCATTAAGGAAATGTACTGTTAAGAAACAATGCTCAAATCATGCAGACAACATTGTAGTTAATGTGTATCTATACCCAAAACTGTTTATTTCATTTTTGATAGAGTAGGAAAAGGGTAGAACCACTGTCAGATTTTACTGCTACCCAGGACTATCAGAAACTGAGCTCTCCCCTCACTTTCTTTTCTGGGGGACGATTTTTTACCACACAGGAAGTGAATGACTATTTTCAACAGATTATATTATTTAACCCGTTGTGGACTTTGGGCCTGCAAGGTACAGTACGCACAAAAAATACGTAATCAAAGTACACAGGCTGTACATAACACACCCTGTCCCTCTCCCACTGTTGCCATGACCCCCCAGCATTTACTCCCAATTCCCAAATGTCAAAATGACAACCTATACTTGATTTATATTAGAGCAGAGACTGAAGCTACTGCTGTCCAAACTAACCTTCTTATCAATGCTTTATATAGTAGCATGATTTAGAGATACAATATAAAATTATATTGTATTTACTCTGTTCCATTGATTTGAACATCAACGGGATGCCCATTAATCTGCACATGATATCAAATAAAGCAATTATAGAAATAAAAAATATATTTTTAAATAATATTTGTTTCAATTTAACTTTGAGTTAACACTTAGGGAACCATATTCAGCCCTAATTATCTTCTTCCTATTTATTTCTTTTTTTTAAATGAGAGTGTATACTCTTTATCTACACTAACACAACCTTAAAGAGACGCATCACTAACTTAAACAATTGCAGTGAAAGCACAGACAAATCAAGTATTTTAAATGCTTTCTTACAGTGCTTTTCCTTTCCCTCAATGATTTTTTATTAATTTGCAACATGCCTTTGAATTTGCTAGAAAATTTGACTACTCCAGGCGAGTCAATTCTCTAGCATAGCCCTCTCTCTCCGTTAACATCAAAGCCCGCTTCTCTTCTGGGAGTGTCTAATTATTCTCTGTGCTTAACCAGCATCTCCACCCTCCCCTCATCTTCTTACATAACCTATTATGTAGCAGCCAGGGGAATAGCGAAGGGGAATATGATAGAATGTCAATTGAGTGACAGCTCAGGTGGCTGCTGACATCACATCCCAGATGGCAGCACCCATAAGCAGTCTCGGGCTTTTGGATATCTACACATTGGAGCCTTTTACAGGTAAATAACATACCTAAAATGTGTAAAATGCACTAATAATGGTATGTGAAGATTTCCTTAAAATGAATAGTTTGGCTACAAAGTCTCTTTAAGGTAAAATTTGAACAACAAGGGAAACTATTAAGATTAAGCTATGGGACAATGAAACTGGCTATTTATCTTTATACAGTTCTTCAGTGCTGCCAAGAGATATTAACTTTACCTGTAATCTAAATTCTGTCAGGATTGTAATTATCCTGTAGTTTAGCCTGAAATTGGAGATATATTGCCAGGATCAAGTGACACAATGATACTGAGTTAAGATGGCATTCCATTTAGCTGACAAATACGCTGACATTATTGACATGCTGAACCATGAATCCTACAGAAAACACTGTTTGGGGAAATGTCTAAAAACACACCATTATTCCAACCAGAAAGATTTACATATCTTTAAAAGCTAAAACCTTGTGGCTAAAAAAAGGCACAGGAACATTATTGTGTCAATTGTGGTTTTTAATTAGGGAACGTTTATGGCATAAGCTACCACATGAAAGCACTTACCAAGGATATCCATAAGAAAATCTTTAAACAATAAAATGTGGGGAAAATTTAATGAAACAGCAAGGAAGTTATTATTAATAATTGTATTTAGTTTTTTAATTTGAAAATGGCCCATTGTAATGAACTATTTGAATTCAGATGTGCCAGTGAGTTTCAAAGTTCAAATATTCTTTGTATAAAGGCAGACTATCAGCTTTAAAAATAATGGGCACCTTAATGGATGGATGCATTGAAAGACTAAGGGGGTCTATTCACTAAGCTGCCGTAGGCAGCCAAGTTAATAACCGACCCGAAGTGAAGTGAGCCGAACGCTGTTCGGCTATTCCCTTCAGGCTTGTACGGCTGATTTCAGCCGTATATCGGGTGGCTTCATGTGGCTTCAGGTCAGCAGAACATGCTCGGCATGTTCGGCCGACCCGAAGTGTAGAAGGAGTTCAACTCAGCCGATCCAACATCTGGACCGGCTAAGCCGAACCTCAGGCAGGCTACTCGCTGCTGTTCGGCCTATTCTCATAGATGGCTTTATGGTGAACAATAAGGGCATAAGTTACCCAATGTAAGTATCACAGTGATTATTTCCATCAGTGCTACAGTGACGATGTCCATATGGAACACTGATTTTACCTATAGGCCACATCACAATGGCATGTGTCTGTTTCAAACCAGTTTAACAGTTTAAAATCTGCTGTGAAAGTTGCTATAGAGATATCTAGAGACCTCTCTAAAATGTATGATTAGTCAGATACATAAAAAATACTGAATCCCTGATTTCTTTTAACCACTTGCCGTCCGCCCGTTGTAAAAAAACGGACGGACGGCACTGCAGCATTGGTGGGTTGCCGTCTCCAGACGTCATTTTTTTTTAAAAGTCACATATAAAAAAAGTAAAAAAAAAACCAAAATGTTTAACTCCCCCACCCCCACGTTTACGCAGATATAAACGTAAATACGCGCCCGGTGCACCAGCGCGCAAAAACGACAATTGCGCTACACACGTTACATAACGGCGCGAATGTCGCAGTGACAGCAATCATTTTAGGGCCATCAATCACTGATAACACTAAACTGATGAGCGGTAAAAGCTTTTAAAGCGTCGCCCATGGCCAATTTTAGGTATTATCGGTTTTTGAGGTTTCGCACGTTCACACAATTTTAAGGCTTGACATGTTTGGTGTCTTTTTACCCGACGTGACCCCGTCTTTTATATTTTAGCAAAAAATTGGGTAATAATAAATGTTTTATCATTTAATATAGGGGGAAATAGTTTTTTTTTTTTTTTAAATGGGTAATTTTTCCTTAATATAGTAAAAAATAAAAACCCCAGTGGTGATTAAATGCCACCAAAAGAAAGCTCTATCTGTCCCTAAAAAATGGTATAAAATTAATTTCAGTGCAGCGTTGCATGACGGAATAAATGTCAGTCAAAGTAACGCAGCACTGAATACTGAAAAATGGCCTGGATGGGAAGGGGGTTTAACACCGCGGATGTCAACTGGTTAATACTTCACTAATGGCACTTTACAATAAAAATAGGTGAAAGGCAAAGTTTTTCAGAGAAGTATATGCCAAGTGTGTCTCAATAATATACAATGTTACACAGTTTCATATGATATGAATATCCCTCTGCCTTAAAATTCAGTCATATGTTCTTTTTTTCTCAGTATCATTCAAGTCAGTTCAAATCAGAATATTCTGTACTGTAGCATGACTTTTGCCACTTTGCATGTTAATAAGCACAATCAGTGGCATTACAATAGACATAGCATCCCATGTGGCTGGTATGGGGCTTGGGGGGTGGGGGAGGGACCAATGTAGTTTCTAGTATACCCAATGACAAAAAATAAAATAAATAAAGCATGGGGTCCCCCCTAAAATCCCTTACCAGACCCTTGATCTGAGCAGCAGCCCAGCAGTGCCAGAAAGGCTGGGCGAACATGCACCCCCCTCCTGCACCATACCAGGCCACATGCCGTCAACATGGTGAAGGTGCTTTGCTGGGGGAGACACCGGGGGAGACACCCGTGATTCATAATTGTGGCCCTGTGCACCAAGACCTAAACAATAATTTAAAAAAAAGATGATACACAAATCACTTTTTCCCCTTTTATGTCACTATATATCATTTCTTTCTGACAGAAAAAACATGTCTGTTGTTTTACATAAGTAAGTGAAAACATGAAAGTATTACGCAGTATGCCTGGACTAACTTTGAGGATGCTTATAATGTCTTTTTTAAGGGATGTGATCTTAAGTGATTTAGAGCAACTGTAACAGTAAATTATCCCCTTTTCCCTCTGCTTCAACATATGTTTCTTTAACGAAACTTTCCATCAACTGACCAGCAAGACTAAAAAATAGTTCAAGTAGAATTAATTACAGTTTGCATTTAGTGAAGCGATGTAAGCACAGATGTTCAATGTTAAATTTCAATGGAAATTTGATGAGAGATTAAGATTGGATTTCACACTTCTCATGGATTAGCAGATGGCTGACAGAAATAGATACCGGTGTTTTATGAGAGATAGATTTTGGTAGAGGCCTCCAACCACAAGCTGACTGACTTGGATTTGCTCTTAAATATTAGCTGAAATTCAACTGCAACCAAAAAGCTCTAAAAGTTTGTGTAATGTAATGAGGGGAACATGGTGGCTGCTATTGTAGACCTTTCCTTCTGAAAATGCAAGCTGCCTTATCATCACACTGATCTTTTGTTTCAATCCTTTGATCAAGGCTAGGCAGCTAACATTTTCAGCTGGAGGACCGCACTAGAAGCCCACCTATACATCACATGACAGGTTACTATTAATTCAAAGCAGTATAGCAAATTAAAGAATATTTCATGTTTGTTCATTTATAATAAATGCTTTTGGTAGGTTGGGAGTAAATAAAGTGAATGCAATCAAGCATTTATTGTTATGTTAACTTGTATTCAGAGCTCTGCAGTGACATCTGCTTGGTTATGTTTACCGGCTGATATTGCCTCTCTTATTTGCTGTCCACTCTTGCTGTATATCAAGCCAAAATGGTTAATACATAAAGCTGGCCATAGGAAATACATGTTGAAGTTTTATTGTAAAAATGATTAAATAGACATGTATACCTGTATTATACAAGCATATATGATTACTGAGCAAGCACCCCAGTGCCAACATTATTGTATAGATATAACAGCAATCAGCCAGGACACTTCACCTTGGCCAAGCAGAACACCCATTACCTAAGTAATTGTCTGAGAATGTCTAAATAAAAATGTAAAAACCAATCTATCCCTGTAATTCACTCCAATTAGCAGTTATATCCAAATCTACATATATCTATTCATTCTTCCTGTGCGTGCTTTCAGTGTCCACAATTCTTTAAACTTCTTTCTTTCCAAATTCTTTCCAATCCTCATAAGCACACCACTAGTTCTAATGGTGTCTACAAAGATAACAAAATATCTCTTTATGTGGCTGAAGTAAACTAGATCAGGGAGTGGTCATCTAATATGTACTAAATGTTTAAGGGGTATTATACCTGGAAGGAGTGAATAATGAATTAATATTCGTGCAGACCTGCACACACCGGCTTATCTATAGCTAAGTTTGGAGACAGAGGAGGACAATGTAGTGCACCACCTCTAGCAAGCAAATAATAACAACTGCAAATTATATTGTGCCCCCCTGAGCTGATGGCTCTGTCCTGATGTTCATTTGTACTGCAGTGTTATGTGTCTCCTTGGTTCTAAGTCTAGTACTGTAAACAAAGGAGCCTGGGTGAAGTAACTGATCCTATAGGAGTATTTACTAAAATTTTTCTTCTTGGAATATAGTTTCCTTCTGACTTTGATAGAGTGTCACCAGTGTCACATACAACTCCATCTCCTCCTCTGTCACACCACTTCCTCAAACTTTCCAAAACTGAGCTCATAATATTCCTCCCTCCAATGTCCCCTACCCCCAAAGTACCCTCCCCCAACTTTTACATCAAGATCAACAGCACAACTATCAGTCCCTTATTCCAGGGTTCTAGGTGTAACTTTGCACTCTGACCTTTCCTTTCAGCCCCCCATCCATTTACTGTCCAAATCTTACCACCTCCTTCTCTGTAGTATTTCCATAATATGGCTATTCTTTACTAATTACACCATTAAGCTACTAACTCATTCCCTTGTTATCTCCTATCTTGACTATTGTAATTCCCTTCTCATTGGCCTACCTTTACACAGACTATGCCCCATAGTCAAGAATGCTGCTGCCAGTCTTGTCAACCTTACCAACTGTTTAGCGATTCCCACCTCTTTCTGCCAATCCCTCCACTGGTTTCTACTCATTTAATAACTAAAATACAAAACACTAATAACAACATACAAAGCAATCCACAACTCTGCCGCATCCTATACCAGTCTTTCCAGCTATCTTCTATTTTGACCAATTTTAGAAAATCCCTGAAAATGTATTACTTCAGGAAGCCTATCCTGCTTCTACCTAAAAACTGATCATTTACTTTCTCTATCAGCACATCCCCTCGCATTTATTGACTTTTGTATCACACACCCCTCCCTTTTAGACTGTAAGCTCTCATGAGCAGGGCCCTCCTAACCCTTTTGTCTTAAATTGTATCCCAAATATCTCCCTTTATTTTGTAAAGTGCTGTGCAAATGGTTGGTGCTAAATCCTGTATAATTATGATCATAATAATTCATACAGTACATACACAATATAAACTAGGGAATATCAATACGTTTTAACAATAGAAGAAAATGTATGTTTTTGCTCATTTTATTTTTCCATGCTGCTGTTACATGCTTTCCATAAATGTTTACATGTTGCATTGTATTTCCAATGTTCAGGCAGTGGGAGTTATCTGTTAAAGCGTAACTAGTGTCTGTCAGGATACTATCACACAGAAAATGCCCTTATCTTTAATAGGTGTTTCTGTTGGATAGCGCCCTTACTGGCACTCCCACGTCTCAAGGAGTAATCCACTTTTCAACGTTATCTCAGGATGCTGTGTGTTGTGGTGACATTTATTATATGTTTTAATTAAATGGCATTTGTTTTCTCTCTCTCAAAGCAACAACATAGCACATAAATATTACTTGGCAGTAGACCCAGTGTCTGGCTCAATATATCTGTCAGATACCAACAGCCGGAGAATATACAAGATCAAGTCCCTTACAGGGGCAAAAGATATTGCGACCAACTTAGAAGTTATTGCTGGCAACGGTGAGCAGTGCATGCCCTTTGATGAGGCAAGATGTGGCAATGGAGGGAAAGCAGTGGATGCCATTCTAACTAACCCAAGAGGCAAGTAAAGGGATATCATGTGAAGTACAACTCTCTGTTGTCATAATGGGTATTGAGCTATTACATTTTGTGCAAGGGGAAAGGTTTAAAACCGGTCAGTAAGGTCAGGTTTCTATTGGGAAGAGTTCCCTTCACTTTTGCCAGGACAGTAATTGGTGGATAGTCTCCCCAATAGGGACACAAAGAGAAGCTGATTTTTAGTAGAGTGAAGAAGAGTTAGAATTTCTGGCAAAGGCTTTATTGCTTTCTATGTGTAGCTGTCCAGTTAACAACTGCTCTTTGTGCATTTCTTGCTTGGGCATGACAAGGACAGGAAGAGAAAGATCTTCCCATAGAAAAAAAACTGAAAGTTATTTTGACATTTCTCTTCCGCTATATGAAATACTAAAATAATTTGTCTGTAGTAAGGTTTTAAAACAGTATAACTTTGTTACATTCTGTCATTTAATGGATGCATTTTTACTTTAACCACTTTCCAGCCACAATCTGTAGATTAACATTGCCCTGTACGGAGGGAACATTAATCTAAGTTCAGCCTTTGTTGGCTAGCAACCCAAACTGTGCATGACAGCTAACTATCAGACCCAGCTGTCACTAACTTTTGAGAATTAAGCTATGCCTGGAGATAATGTGGTGTTTATTTTTTTAGAGTGCTTTCATTTTTAGAATGTTTTTAGATGTTGCCTACATAACCCTAATAAAACATTAATGTGATGACAGAAATCTAATATGGTTCTAGTCAAAAAAGATGAATGCCCAGCAGTTGTTATTAGGTTTGGGTGAAAATGATGGTGTGTTGGGGATGCAAATTACCGGACAAAAACTACTGATTAAACTACTGAAGTTTAAATGTAATTCAATATCAATTTCCATTGTCAATATAGAGATATAGTATGTATGGTTCACAGTCTCTTAAGATTTATTCATATTTGTTATGTGAATATTGCGTTCTTTCAAAGGCTATATTGTTTCCCAGCAAACAGTTGACAACATCTGTGGGTACCTTAAAGCATTACTTGTTAAACTCTAAAATATAGAGTGCTGGTCCCAAGGACTGCTGTAGATTCTTAAAATTGAGTTTACCTTTGTAAATTTATAGATTACAGAATAATAAACACATGACATTATTTTGTATTTAACTATTTAGGAATTGCAGTTGATAAGAATGGGCTTATTTATTTTGTTGATGCAACAATGATACGAAAAGTCGATCAGAATGGAATCATTTCTACTCTACTGGGATCCAATGACCTTGCTGCAGGACGGCCTTTAAGCTGTGATTCAAGCATGGACATCACTCAGGTATAATTATTATTTATACTAATCAAAATGATCTATTTAATTTTTGTGAAAAGACACATTTACAATCTCCAGAAAAATGTGATGCATCTGAAGCTGATTTAGCCTTACATGTAACCAGTGGTATTTAGTAACATTTTATGGTTAATAAATATACACGGCAGTTATCTGTGTTTACTTGTTGACACTTCTTAATGAAGAGCTGTTTTGCACAGTATTTAGTCAGACCAGACCATTAATTTCAACAAAAATCTTCCTATAAGATTATGTGTGAATGTAATGTATTTATGCATGTATGTTAACCATAAAAGATTTCCTTGTGTTGACATCCAAAGGCCCTGAGACTGCTGCTGGATACATTAATCTTGGATGTGATGTCTACAGCACCAGGGGATTCAGAACTGATACTCATAGTATTTGCCTTGATCTCTCATTTGGCAGTTACATAAAAGGTTATGTAGGGAGGCAAGATAAGGGGTGGATGATTTTGGCCTGCACACAGAGTAATTAAACCCAGATAAGGGGAGGGCTATGGCATTCAAGGGGAGAGGGGTCTGTGCTAGGGAAATGACTAGACAATTCTTCCAGCAAGGTCAAGTGAATAATAAATGATATACAGTATAAGGAAAAAAAACTGCAAGTAAGCATGTAAAATATATAAATACTTGATTGTTCTGTGCTTTTACCAGCATTATTTAAAATTGATGACAGGGTATCTTTAAAGCCAAATTGAACTTTAAGTTCAATCTCCAGGTCCATAAAACCAAAAAGGCATGGAATTTCATATTGTTTTTATTAATTGCAAAGCAGCCAGAACTCTGAGTCAGAGTTAGAGGTCTCCAATCAGCAGGAATTGTGAGTTTTGCGGATTAGAAATCTCTAGCTCTGACTCAACGGGGAGATTGTCAAACCTCAGTTCACATACTTAGCAACTGTCTTTGTCTGGGACATAATGGCAGGGGGAAGGATTTTCCACTAAGGCTGTGGCTGCTTTCTATAAAAAAAAAAAGAGTTTGCACACCTTTTATTTTGATGGATCTGGAATGTATTAAGCTGATTTAGAAAAAAGGTTTAATTGGGCTTAAAAAGTTAAAACCTTTATTATCTATGGATTACTGTTACTGGTTTTATCTTATATTATTACATAATTTATTTCAATCTTCTAAATGAAGTCTAAAAAATGTTTTTCAGGTTCGTATGGAATGGCCAACAGATTTAGCAGTTAACCCAATGGATAACTCCCTCTACGTCTTAGAAAACAATGTTATTTTGCGTATTACAGAAAACCATCAAGTTAGTATCATAGCTGGACGTCCAATGCATTGTCAGGTACCTGGTATAGACTATTCCTTAAGCAAACTGGCTATTCATTCTGCACTTGAATCTGCCAGCGCAATTGCTATTTCCCATACTGGGATACTATACATTGCAGAGACAAATGAAAAGAAGATCAATAGAATACGACAAGTGACGACCAATGGTGAAATATCTCTTTTAGCTGGGGCAGCTTCTGACTGCAACTGCAAAGATGATGTCAACTGCAACTGTTATGCTGGAGATGACGGCTATGCTACTGATGCATTTCTAAACTCACCGTCATCCCTGGCCGTAGCACCCGATGGTACAGTATACATTGCAGACCTTGGAAATATACGGATAAGAGCTGTTGTTGAAAACCAGCCTGTTCTCTCTTCATTTAATCAGTATGAAATTGCATCTCCAGGAGAACAAGAATTATACATTTTTAATATCAATGGTATCCATCAGTACACACAGAGCTTGGTCACAGGAGAATACTTGTACAATTTTACTTACAGTGCCGACAATGATGTAATAGAAATTATCGACAATAGTGGCAACTCTTTGAAAATCCGCAGGGATTCTAATGGTACTCCACGTCATTTTCTAATGCCAGACAATCAGATTATCACATTGGCACTTGGTACCAATGGAGGACTTAAGATGGTCTCTACACAAAATCTGGAGTTGTCCTTAATGACATATGAGGGCAATACTGGGATGTTAACAACAAAAAGTGATGAGACTGGCTGGACAATGTTTTATGAGTAAGTACCCCATAAAGAAAATTGCATTCATAAATATAACTGAAATAATTGCTTGAATAATGTATGCTTATGTTTTGCATCTGTCATTAGCTGAGAGGTCACATACACATTACTGCAGATTCTATCAGGTTTATAAAGTTGTGGCTGCACCAAAATACCTCTAAAATATTTTCAACATTGTTTTTTCTGTAAGGGCAAAATAGAATGCAGTGTACTCTTAAAGCTGGACTCCTGCCAAAAATAATAAGATAAAAATGAATAGCCCATTAAATGATAATATAAAAAAACAGCTTTTGTTGCAATATTTACCTTCAATTGAGAGACAGTACATTTTCTACCACTAAAGATCTTCATAGATGTCTTCAAATGCACTGTTTGCATTTAAAAAATATATACATTTAAGGATGTATTAATGATAAAATATTTTATACCTGCATACAATTCAACTTTAATTTAGTTTATTGCAGTGTGTTTATTTTATTTGGAAATAGAATCATACAAATAAAGGTAACTGGAATTTCAAATGAAATATTTTGTATAGATTTGCAAGGGTTTAAGTGCTTGTTATGTCTAAGGGACTTAAATAAAGCAGATTTACTCACCTGATCCTCAGTCCTGCTAGGCTGCCAGATCAGTCCCCACAGCTTCTTCTCCCCTGGGTTCCGGTGGTCTGAGGACCACTGACATCATGACAGTGGTAGATGTAGCACGGCGAGGGACACTCCATAGCCAGAGTGGAGCGGCAGTGGAGGGGGAGAGGGGGTGAGTGCTGACCACTGTGGGATCTGTCTTTAAAAACCTTTTTTTGTGGAGGTGGTAGGAAGAAACCTGGGTCAAGTGAGCATATGCCATGGCCTTTTCTGTATAGATGTGTCAATGTATTTCTATTATGTATTTTTCTTTCTAGGACTGCAGTATATTTAATATGTGAAGACTTAATTGGAGGATCGATATTTATAGATGGTGGACTTTTTTAGTTTATATTTTCTGAGATGCCATATACAGCTATCAGGCTTTTAGTGTATTGTTTTACTCTTCTTTTGTACAGTATTATAATTATTTTAGCCAGTGTTTCATCTTGGGCAGCTCTGGAGGTACTATGACAAACTCTTTGGAGCAACTGTTGTAAAATTCTGGCTGTCATTTAAATTTCCTCACAATATATTCAAGGTTAAAATATATTAGTAATATGGGCAGATCAAACAGCAAAACACAGACAACAGACACTGTATAAATATTTGTTAGGGTAACTGTTTTATTTCTTTACCATAACAAAGAAACATGGTGGAAAGTTTGTTTGTTAGAGGAGCAAATATCAGATAACAGAAATGTGTCTTAAAGAAGAATAAAAGTCTCTTTTTTTACATGTATCTAATGCTAGCAAGCATTAGATATATGCCACATCATAAAAAAAAAGTTGTAAAATATGTAATACTTACCTGTGTCTGCGCCACTTGCTCCCGGCCACAGACGACATCTTCCTGAACGGCCGTGCAGGAGGAAGTGTACATGCACAGTCCATATCAGAGGAGGGGAGGGGAGAGACACAGTGTCAGTGAATGTATGCAGCCGGGAGAGTGCGTGCCGGACAGACTCTATGGGACACAGGAAGAAAGAGGAGTCTGCACTGGATCAGAGACCAGTACCAGTGTTGGAGGGACTGTGGAAAACAAGTGGAAGGAAGAAGCTGTTCGGATCAAGAGGCATCCAATAAGGTAAGTCCTTACAGCGGGGGGGAATCTGCCTTCAATGTCACTTTAAGTTAGACATTAGAGGAGGCATTAGACATTAGAGGAGGCAGTTCTAAATGTGGCAATTTGTATATTTTTTTAACTGTACAGTAAAAAGGTAAACAATTCACTTTAGCACTTGCCATAGATTTCAGGGGGGTGTACATCAAAGATCTCCAGTCTCAATAAGTGGAGGTTCAAACCATTAAGTTAAACATTAGAGGAGACATAAGAGGATGCAGTTCCATGGAGGTAAAAAGGGACATAGGAGGAGAGAAATTTGTGATAATTTAGGATTACATACTGTAGTTACATAGTATTTTAGGTTGAATAAAGACACAGGTCCATCAAATTCAACCTTTGTGGGTCTGTGTGTGTTTGTGCGTGCATGTGTGTATATGAGTCCCTTTATGGTCTTAGTTTTTAAGAGTTCATGTACCCCTGTATGTTACAGTCTCTTAGGATGGAAACTAATTGATTTTTGAATGAATCAATATTCTCTGCTGATACCACTGCCTGTGACAGAGAGTTCCAAAATGTAACCACTCTGACTGAAAAGAAGCCCCTACATCCTTTGTGGTTAAATCTTTTCTCCACCAATTTTAGGTGGTGGCCTCTAGTCTTTTTTAGGGAGTTTATAGTAAAAAGTTTATTGCTGATGTTGCCATCACCACCCAACGTTTTGTACATAAAAATCACGTTCACTCTTAATCATCTCACTTCCAGCATGAACAAGTTTACATTTAGCAACCTTGTCTCCTAGCTTTAGTCCTCCAGCCCCTTCATTAGTTTCATTGCCCTTCTCTGGACTCTCTCCAGATCCAGGACATCCTTTCTGTGGATTGGTGACCAAAATTGAGCCGCATACTCAAGATAAGGCCAAACCAGTGATCTACAAAGTGGCAAAATTATTACTTTGTCTCTACAGTACATTCCCTTTTTAATGCATGACAGTACTCTGCTCGCTTTGTTTGCCACAGCCTAGCATTAGGTGCTGTTATTCAATCTGTGTTCTACTATGACCCCCAAATCTTTTTCCATTTCTGACTTCCCTAGTGGTGTACCCAATAATGTGTATTCCGCTTGCCTATTTTTAACCCCAAAATGCAGTACCTTACATTTTTTAACATATATCCTTATCTGCCACATAGTTCCCTGCTCCCCCATTTTATTCAAGTCCTCCTGTAATGTTATAATGTCTAATCCCGTGTCTATTACCCTCTCAATTTTAGTATAATCTGCAAACACAGAAACATGGCTATTAACACCTTCCCCAATATCATTAATAAACAGGTTAAACACAGCCTAGCACAGAACCCTGGGGCATGCCACTCTCGACCTTAGACCAATGTGAAAAATAGCCATTTATCAATACTCTCTGGACATGTTCCTGTAGGCAGTTCTCTTTAGGATTCCCTAAAGTAGATTAGTTGCTCCAGTAAAAAGGAATTAGTCACTTCAAATGGAGGACCCATAGGCTTCCATTGCAAAGTCTAATACCATTTATTCCCCTTTAAAGGATTAGAATTAGATATCAAGGTAATAAGCGGCAATCATAACATTCTTACTCTCTAGAAAGAGCCACCAAGAATGTTGCTCTGTCCATGTGCTACAAATCTGACTAAGCATATGTGTTTTTAGTAAATTTCTAACAGTGTTTTTAGACTTCTCTGGTAATCATATGCAGCTAGCAAAGCAAGATGGGGCCCTGAATAATGAATGTAGCTACATCTCAGCAATATATGTGGTGATATTTCCATTGTTGTCAGTGGGATTCCCATGAGCGTTATCAGCAGGCACATGTGTTCAGACAGCATACATGGAGATATAAAGCAGACCTTTACTGTACTTAATTAACCTGTTAATTAAATGTTTCGCTGCTTGTTTAATAGAAAAAGTGTGATCACTTTGCCTGTAAGAGATTTTACCAACTTCAGAAATCTACAAATTGCTTATTTATGCATTTTACATGGCATTCTTAACTTGTTTATGAAAAGAACAAAAAGCAGCATATTTTTTCAACTGAAAGAAGTACTATGGACCAAATAAAAATATGTATAGAATATGATGCAGTCTGTCAGTAGTATTAACAGAGCAGTTTTTGGTTCTATGTTTCTCCCCTGTAACATAGTTTCATTACCTGTTGATACTGTCAGTTGATCTGTTATTTTTCCATTTCCTATAACATGGCAAGATGTCCAGCAAAAGTGACAGTTAAAGTAACAGGAAATCACAGTCTCTGCTGCTACATGATCAGAGCATTTTACAATCAAGATTTAGGGAACATTGACTTCAGCAGAGTGATGAAAATACAGCTGTCTGTAGTTCACACAGGGGGGTGACAATGCTATCACAGTATTGGGAACTGGTGGGAAACCATTGTCACCACATTACAGCCATGCCTCATAGAGAAAACTAAAACTGGCAGGATCAACAGGCATTTTTTAAACACTTGCTCTCCCCAATATATAGACAAAAAAAGCTTGTACACCTTTACAAGAGAAAAAACGCTACTGTACACAACTTTAGTATTTAGCTTTACATACACTTACATACTTGCAAACATTCTTTAACCAACTGTATTCATTTAGGTATGAGCAATGTTGGAATGTGTCCCATCTATTATTGCAACACAAGCTATATCAAATGAATTATTTATTTCTTATATATAGCTACAAATAAACAGTTTATGTGACAAATTCATGTGACTTGTGGACATCAAATATATTTATACATGATATTTTAACTTGGTAGAAACCCTGATCCATCCATTGGTCAGACCTCGTTTGTTCCTTAACATTCAAAAGATAAATTTAATTAAAATTAAGAATTCTAAGTCAATTAAATAAACATAATATTTTGAGCTGCTTAGTTGCCATATTATGAATGGTTGCCCTCATGCCAGAAATATGAGCTATATGGTTATCTATATTAAAACGCATCTCTTAAATGTAATCATCCTTGAAGTCAAATATCTTACAATACGTTTTACAAGGGGTGGGTAGGTACAGATAGGTTGTATAAAGAAACAAAATGATTGCTTTTCACCTAGTGAGATGCATATGCTTTACATATCCAGAGAAGCATACATTTGCTGAAGTAACTTATATGTAAAATTGACACTGAAGACCACTTAATAACTGCAGCAATTTTACTTTTCAGCAATGCATCCATGTAGCCATTAAAACATATTTTTTCAAATAAAGAGGGTTTAGCAGTCATAAGTATTATTTAGAAAAAAACAAGCAAATAAATACAATATTTTGCAGG